CAAGGTACAATTTTGGAGAAAACAGATGTTGATATATGATAGAATTAAAAACAGATATAAGATAGAATTAAAGGAATTTTAAATAAATTCACGATACACTATTTCTGAAATTTAGGGTTGTTACACACTTTGTTGAACCCACGAAGCTCCTTGAGGACAAGATCTATGTTTTTATTTTCTGTTATATCCCAATTACTAGCAAGTCCTACAAAGAAACTCATATTACTGAATATTTATCAATAAAGGAATGCTCAATAAATAATTTTATTCTGATATTTTTCCTCTAGTTTTACAAGTCAGTGACTAGCACATATAGCCAAACTATATGGCAGGATTAACAGAGTTATATTCATATTTTTCTTCTCATTGTGTGACTGGTGCTGGAGTGAGAATAATACATGGAGGTCAGGAGGCAAATGTTCTCCTACAAATTGCTTAGTCCGTTCAAAATGAACATGGTATTTAAAAAAGGAAGAAGTCAATTCAGCAATTTAATGGTACTCTGAATATTTTATATCTTCAAATACTTTATTTTCACATAAATTGAGAGCTCCACAAAAGTAAAAATATCAACGTGTGGTGAATGAGTGGTTAAAAAATGGACATCCGTTTTGTGTATTACAGCCAATGACAGCAGTAGGCTTGTAATGATTGCAATTAGTGGACTTTAACTTCCTGTTAAATTTGCATATTCGTCTTGCTCTTTTATGGGGACAGGACAAAGAGAGGTGTGTGTGGGTTTTTATGAAACCAGTCATGTTTCCCTGTTTACTAAGGTTGTTCCTACACCACCATTTCCAAGCACTTCATGTTGAGTATTGTGTGTGATATTGTTAAAGTTATTCTCCCATCCCGTGTGTGTGTCTGTACATGCATGTGTTTATGTGAATGTGATTTAAAGTACATAAATCCTTCCCAGGAACAAGACCAGAAGAACTGTACAGAGAGCCACGTCAGGCCTCTGGAAGGTATGCTGTTTCACAGTGAGTAGAACTCTCTATAGGTAACGACACTAAGTGGATCCCCAGTGATTTGCCCTTTTAGAAAGTGAGTGCTTTCTGAGAATCAGCAAAATCTTCCCTGAGTCTTTTGTTAAACTCTTCTTGAGTTGTGCTTAAAGTGCCTGATTTGGTGTATGTGGGTGTGATTTTGCGTGGTATGTGCATTGTGCCAAAAAAAAAAAACAAAAAAACAAAAAAAAAAAACAAAAAAAAAAAACAGGTGATCTGGGCAGTTCCTCCTCTCCCTTGTACTGAGACTTGTTGTGTTCTGCCACCTCAGACAACATGCACGTTCTCTCCCACCTCACAAAACCCTTTTTCATGTTCAGGACGAATTTTCACTGGTAGCCCCTCAGGAAAGAGGTCAAAGAATGGAACTCTGACTTTGTGTGGATTCATGAATCTACAGTATCCAGGCATCTTCAAAAAAAAAAAAAATTTCTGCTGACCATGGCATTGCAGTTAGCATAGTGACGTTGGGCAAGTTATAAAACCTCCTTGTATCTCAGTTTACTCAGGTATAAAATGATGCCAATGATATACCTCCCTTCCAGGATTGTTGTAAAGATTAAATGAATAATAAAAAGCCTAAGATAAGTTCTGAGAACACTCCCTTATCAATATGTACCGTCTAGAATATCGAAGCTATGCTGTTGATACTGCCACCTGAGACTCTGGTGTGGAGTTTGTAGGAGACTGATATGGTTTGGCTCTGTGTCCCCACCCAAACCTCATCTTGAATTGTGCTCCCATAATTCCCACCTGTTGTGGGAGGGACCCAGTGGAAATACTTTGATTCATGGGGATGGTTTCCCCCATACTGTTCTTGTGGTAGTGAACACGTCTCATGAGATCTGATGGTTTATCAGGGGTTTCCGCTTTTGCATCTTCCTTTTCTCTTTGCCACTGCCATGTAAGAAGTGCCTTTCACCTCCTGCCATGATTCTGAGGCCTCCCAGCCATGTAGAACTGTAAGTCAAATTAAACCTCTTTTTCTTCCGAGTCTTAGGCATGTCCTTCTTGGCCGCATGAAAACAGACTAATACAGTAAATTGGTACCAGTAGAGTGAGGTGTTGCTGAAAAAATACCCCAAACTGTGGAAGTGACTTTGGAATTGGGTAGTAGGCAAAGGTTGGAAAGGTTTGGAGGGCTCAGAAGATGACAGGAAAATGTGGGAAAGTTTGGAACCTCCTAGAAATTTGTTGAATAGCTTTGACAAAAATGCTGATAGTGATATGAACAGTAAGGTACAAGCTGAGGTGGTCTCAGATGGAGATGAGGAACTTGTTGAGAACTGGAGCAAAGGTGACTCTTGTTATGTTTTATCAAAGTGACTGGCGGTGTTTTGCCCCTTCTACAAAGATTTGTGAAACTTTGAACATGAGAGAGATGATTCAGAGTATCTGGTGCAAGAAATTTTTAAGCAAAAAAGCATTCAGGAGGTGACTTGGGTGTTGTTAAAAGCATTCCATTTTAAAAGGGAAACAGAGCATAAAAGTTTGGAAAACTTGCAGCCTGGTGATGCAGTAGAAAAGAAAAACCCATATTTTGAGGAGAAATTCAAGCTGGCTGCAGAAATTTGCATACATAACAAGGATCCAAATGTTAATCCCCAAGACAATGGGGAAAATGTCTCTGCGGCATGTCATAGGTCTTCATGGCAGCCCTTCCCATCACAGACTCCAAAGCCTAGGAGGAATAAATTGTTTTGTGGGCCAGGTCCTGTGTCCCAGTGCTGTGTGAAGCCTAGGAACTTGGTACTCTGTGTCCCAGCCACTCCAGCCATTGCTAAAAGGTGCCAAGGCACAGCACTGCCCATGGTTTCAGAGGGTGCAAGCCCCAAATCTTGGCAGTTTCCACATGTGTTGAGCCTGCAGGTTCACAGAAGTCAAAACTTGGGCTTTAGGAACCTCCACCTAGGTTTCAGAAGATGTACAGAAATGCCTGGATGCCCAGGCAAAAGTTTGTTGCAGGGGCAGGGCCCTCATGGAGACCCTCTGCTAGGGCAGTAAGGAAGGGAAATGTGAGATCTGAGCTCCCACACCAGTTCCCTACTGGGATACCATCTAGTGGAGCTGTGAGAAGAGGGCCACCGTCTGGGGCCACAGACCCCAGAATGGTAGATGCACCCACAGCTTGCCCCATGTACCTGGAAAAGCCACTGTCACTCAACCCCAGCCTGTGAAAGCAGCCAGGAGGGGGGCTATACCCTGCAAAGTCACATGGGTGGGGTGGAGCTGCCCAAAACTATGGCAGCTTACCTCTTGCATCAGTGTGACCTGGATGTGAAACATGGAATCAAAGGAGATCATTTTGGAACTTTAAAATTTGACTGCCCCACTGGATTTCAGACTTGCATAGGCCCTCTAACCCCCCTTTTTTTGGTCAATTCCTCCCATTTGAAATGGCTGTATTTACCCAATACCTCTACCCTCATTGTATTTAGGCAGTAACTAGCTTGCTTTTAGTTTTACAGGCTCACAGGCAGAAGGGACTTGACTTGTCTCAGATGAGACTTTACACTGTGGACTTTGGGTTAATGCTGAAATGAGTTAAGACTTTGGAGGACTGTTGGGAAGGAATAATTGGTTTTGAAATGTGGGGACATGAGATTTGAAGGGGCCAGGGGTGGAATGATATGGTTTGGCTCTGTTTCCCCACCCAAATTTTATCTTAAATTGTACTCCCAGAATTTCCACATGTGGTGGGAGGGACGTGGAGGGAGATAATTGAGTCATGGGGGTGGTTTCCCCCATACTGTTCTTGTGCTAGTGAGTAAGTCTCATGAGATCTGATAGTTTTATCAGGGGTTTTTGCTTTTGCACCTTCCTCCATTTTCTCTTGCCACTGCCATGTAAGAAGTGCCTTTCACCTGTTGCCATGATTCTGAGGCCTCCCAGCTATGTGAAACTGTGAGTCCAATTAACCCTCTTTTTCTTTGCGGGCATGTCTTTATCAGCAGTGTGAAAACGGGCTAATACAGAGACCCACCATATCATTATAGTAATGGTGACTGAGAAATCCCCGAATTCATCAAGACCCCCAGGAGCTTGTCAAGTGCTTTCCTGGTTCCTGCTTTACTAAGCAGTATTACTGTCTTCTCTAGGGTCATCTATCGCATGAATGCGTTTCTCCTTGAAGCCTTTTCTGACCACTTGAGTCAACACTGATCTTCTTTTTCCCACTTCATAATGCAGACAATGTGTACAACACAGCTTACCATATGATGTCTTAGTTGTTGCTGTGCTTCTGTCCTACTGGCACGCCTAGGTGATGAGGTTCGGCCAGTTGTTTTGTTATATTTGCCTGAACTCTTTAACCTTGTGACTCACCCACACAGTGGGGAGTAAGACTTGTTAAAGTAGTATTTGAAGATATGTGTGTGTTTGGGGTGGGGGTTATTGGAGTGAGGATATCAACTCTCTTCACCAATCCAAGCATAACAATTTGACTGTGATTGCACCATGTTATTCTCCTTACCCTAAAATCTATATTCAGTAATCATTTCAGGGGTTCTCAGAACTGTATACAAAAACAATAAATATTCAGTAACAATGGCTAAACCCAGTTTGTAGAAATAACTCTACATAGTTTAATTTTTAATTTTTTTTTTTTTTCCTGGGACAGAGTCTTGCTCTGTCACCCAGGCTGTAGTGCAGTGGCACAATCTCGGCTCACTGCAACCCCCGCCTCCCGGGATCAAGCAATTCTCCTGCCTCAGCCTCGCAAGGAGCTGGGATTCCAGGCGCCCACCACCACACCCGGCTCATTTTTGTATTTTTAGTAGAGATGGGGTTTCACCATGTTGGCCAGGCTGGCCTCAAATTCCTGACCTCATGATCTGCCTGCCTTGGCTCTACATAGTTTTCTAACTTAATTATGTATTTAGCAAACTACAAAGTGTGCATAGATATTTCTTTCATTGTGAAAGCACTGCGGAGACTTTCAAATGATTTTATTTTTGATATATTATTTCTTATTTTACCAACATGCCTCTTTCTTCTAACAAAATCTTACACTGAGAACCAAGTACACGAATAGAAATGAGCAAGAGAAGGAGTATGTGTGAAAGAGACCTTGGTGATAGCATCTCTATTTAAGCATCTCTATTTATGATAGCATCTGTATTTAAAGACAGAGCATTGGGTGGTAGTCCTAAGGCTCCTCAGACATCCCCTCTCCACCTCCGAGCCCCTTTTGCAGATCATTTAGAGATCAGTGGCATCTATTGACTTCAAGGAATATTAGTTGTGGAATGAGACAGGTCTGAGTTCAAATCTTGGTTCTGCTATGTACTTGCAATAAAATTATGAGCTAGTCTTTTGACATCTATGAGCTACAAAATAAAGATAATCATAACTAGAATATTATCTTAAAGGGCTGTAAGAATTACCAAATATGTGGTCCAGAATATACTATGTCTTTCTTTAAGGTAGATGCTATTATTCTCTTCCGTGTTTCATGTCATGGGCACCTTATGGGAGTCTGTGTCAGAATAACTGCACTCTTAGATAACACAATTTTTCTCAGGTCCTAATGGAGAAAACAGAAATAGATCCATCACCGTTTACACCTGATATTCATTGTTCCCAAGTCCCCAACTGCTTTACTACAAAATCCAGGCTTTTATAAGGTTACCTCCCCACAAGACTTTCAAGTATTCTCCAAAGCAAAGATGTGCCCTCTGGTTATTATTCACTGCTGTAACTTAACCTTCATGTCTTAAGCGGACTTCCAAAGTACTGCTGTGGGTTTGTACCTCACGTTATTTTTGTACTTTCACATTTCCCAAAAAATATCCTAAGTTGATAATGAAGACACACTACAAATGAACATTGGTATAAATAAAACTTTGACTACCTAGGCAAAGGGGAAAACATAGTTTTTCATTATTACTTGTAGCTAGGGTTCCATAGAAGAGTTGTCTAAACTGAAGAGAACTGTAGTGATGACATGGTGTTCATGTCTGATGATACCAGCAAGCTAGTGACACCAAGTCATGCTGGGAACACTCAGGTAGGTCAGAATTCTGCATTCCTCATCATTGCTGCCTCTAGACACCCACATGCCCTGCCACACTTCATGCTAGCACTGATTTCAGGAAGTGAGTGGAATAGTGTGTTTTGGCTAAGCTCAGATGGGAATCACAGCAAAGTTCCTTGCACTCCACAGTATCACAGCATTAAGAAACACAACTTTTCAACCGGGCGCGGTGGCTCACACCTGTAATCCCAGCACTTTGGGAGGCCGAGGCAGGAGGATCACGAGGTCAGGAGATCGAGACCATCCTGGCTAACACGGTGAAACCCCATCTCTACTAAAAATACAAAAAATTAGACGAGAGTGGTGGTGGATGCCCGGTAGTGCAGTGGCGGAGATGATGCCACTGCACTACAGCCTGGGCAACAAAGTCAGACTCCATCTCCAAAAAAAAAAAAAGAAAAAAGAAACACAGCTTTTCTTATGGCCACACCTAGCTCCCTCCTCCTCGGTACACATAGCCCACTGAAGAGATCAGAATATGTTCTAGTATGAGGTAGTACATTTACAATGCATGGCTTTGTTACTCAGTTTGGCCCAAGAGATTTGGTCTTCCTTATTTCCCTGGTAATGAGTTTCCTTTTGGGACCTGCATTGATTCTCCCTGAAATCTGGTCCCTGGTGCCCCTAGGTAACCTCAATCGATGGTATAAATGATTTAAGTGGCATAGAGTCCTACTTCACTTGTCAGAAGCATCAGAGCTTAGATTGTGCCCAACCAAGATACCATTTTATATAATAGATCTTAGTGGATATATATACTAATTGTGGATAATTCTCCATCTCTATATGCATGTGGTCAAAATTTACACTTTAAACATAAGGTGCTTCACCTATAGCATGTATATGTCCATTCTTTACTGTTAAACAGATTCATGCAAGCACTATGTGATAATATTCGTAGGTATATGTACATTAAACACAAACTATATTCAAGGCAAAATATCCTGTTCTTTATGTGCGTTTACATTTCCATCCTCAAAACAATCCTATAATGGAAACACTTTGATTATGAGTACTGTATAGATAAGGAAACCCGAGAGTGGAAAAAGGTAAGAAACATGTCCACAGTCACAGTGTAATGACAAGCCTGGGATTTAATCCCTGGTCTTTTTTTAAAAGACTTTCAATTTGCAATAAATTAATTACTACATAAAGGTGACTTCTTTTTTGTAGTTGCTTAGTGTTTGTAAATTTTTTTATGATGGTTGCTTCTAAGACGTTCCTTGATTTCACATTCATAGAAAATACAATGACATGTAAATGCATTGGAAATACAAAGAATGTAAGTGCAGATTCATAAATGCTCCTCACTTTAGGGTGGTTCTTAAATTTTAGTGTGCATTAGAATCCCCTGGAGGGCTTGCTAACATACAGAAAACTGGGCTCCATCCTGAGTTTCTGATTCAGGTTATCTGGGGTGGGGCCTGAGAATTTGTATTTCTAACAAGTTCCGAAGTGATGTTGATATTGCTGGTCCCAGGACCACACCTTGTGAATTATTTCTCAATACTAAATGAAAAGCAGTCACTGTTACGATGTGAGCCCTGTCATTGTTCAATAATTTTCATAAATATAGCATACTTTAAAAGCAGTGGTTTTTATGCTCACTGTTATAAAATAACTGAGCAAGATGCACAGCAAATGTTCATTTAGGACTCATTAATGGATGATCACTTTATATCTGACTCTCAAGCATGCATTTTCTGGAATTATCAATGTGTCAGGTGAGGCTCCCCATCCCACTCTCTTAGCTGGCTAGCTGGAAGGGAATTTGGGACGGCCCACAAATTGATTACCTCCTCTCTTCTGTTTCCTTTCATAGTCCTAAATGGAAGTTTTTGTACCTTTGGACCTGTTTGTATGTCTGGAGCTCTTCCAGGACGGAAAAGAGAAGGAGATTAGCCAACAAAGAGCTGTAGCTCCAGGGTCCTCCCCTAGAAACCCACAGGATCTTGCCCTTTCTCTGGTTTGCAGAGGAGAAAGGGTAGGCAGAAAGCCCTCCTGTGCCCAGTAGTCCATCCTATTTCCATTGGGCCCTTCTCTTCTGACCGCAATTTGCACCTCACCCAGGTGTGAAAACCTTTCCTGGGGCAAGGAAGATGCAAGCCTCTCTGTTAGCAGCAGGTTGAAGCCACTGTCCTCCTTGTTACTGAGAAAGTGAGTCTCTAGCTCGGCCTCTGATTTCCCTCAGACACTTGAACTATTCATACTCTATTAAACACATATGAAGGAAGGAAATTGGACTTTCTCAGGTTTCAGATGTATCAGCAGGGATGTATGACTGAAAATTAATTCCCTGACACAGACTGATGAAGCCAGCAGTTTCCTGAAATACTGGGATATATTTTATATTTTTCGTAACACATGATCTCAATGTTACATGTCTTCCCTAATTCAAAATGCTGATGTTTTGACAACGGGACACAGACTCTTCCATTTTTATAAACAGCTTTCGTGTTAATTAGTCAAAATGCCAAGAATTTGGTCAGTTTGTATAGTAATGAAAAACTCTAATAAAAATCTGCATATCTTCTAATGAGTGCATTATGTCATTTAGCTACAAAGGACCAGACGAACTAATGCACCATTAGATCTGGAGTTTGGCAATAACTGAAAACAAAACATCTCTTATATCTTAGTGGTTTTTTTTTTTTTTTTTTGGAATTTTTTAAATCCCCAAGGTCGGCTTTTTTCATGCGATATTTCTTCGTCTCTCCTTCTAGCAGTACTAGTTTAAGTACTGCTAGTCATACCAGCTTCACTCATGAGGTATTGGTGAATATATTCTTAAACCAACTTTGTTTATTTTTACATACGATATATCATTTTCATTTACTATACTCAAGTCTCATATGTAAGCTCTGGAGGTTACATTTTAAATGTCACTTATTATCCATGGGTTCTAGAGCAAGTTCCTTTATTTTTCTGATCTTTTGGCTACTTACTTGAAGAAAAGTATCAACTGCTCTACCTCAAATGGTTGTGTTGATGGAACAAATGCCTGATGTATGTTAAAGAACTTAAAAACCTAGGAAATGTCATGCAAATTTGTAAGACTTATTATTACTGTGTGATTGTACTAACCCATATAGAACTTTGTAACAGAAGAATCATCTAATCAAGATGATTAAAATCTATAACAAGGATACCATCCAGGGGAGGCTCAATATATTGACTAAAATATAAGACTGAAGGATTTAATGAGAGTTGACAGGACTCTCTTGATGGTACATTGAAGCCAAATAATTGGGATCTCTCTGCTATGAACACCTGACATCAGAGAACACTCTAGAAACCAAGAAATATATTAAACAGAAAAAAAGGAGAAACAAATATTCAACAAGACAGAGATTACCAACATCCTGGAAATGAATCCAAAAATGGATTCTCTTCAACTAAGTCACAGCTGACCCAGAGATTAAAAGCAGCAGTCATTTGTGTAATTTAAAATACTGAATAATATTGGACCTGTAAGTCTTGTGGTCCTCAACCAACTCCCTGAATCTCCTTGAGTTTTAAACAAATTGCTTTATAGAGTAAGTATTGAAAGAACTTTGAGTACACCAGTCAATCTTACTAAAAACACATGAAGGAACTCATTGCACCCCCAGCGAAATGAGTGAAATGAGAAAAGCTGCACCCCAGCTTTTCAGAACTCAGTTTGGGGTGTGTATTTGCATATGTAAGTGTCTCCTTCTGGTAAACCAGAGACAGTATAACTAGTGGCTAGTATTTCTGGAAGCAATTATCTCTGCACTTTAATTCCTTTTGTTAAAAATAAAATCTAGAATAGCAGTTAAATCAGCCTGTGGTTTCGAGAGAGATGAAAGTTGAGACTTATTTGGGCTTATTGGTGGATGGGTTCAGGAAAGAAACGGCACATTAGATAGTGCCAAAGATATAGAAGGAAGGAAGTTACTGATACCATTCACCTGACTCCACGGTGCATTACTGCTGGGTTGGAAGAATTATTAGGAGAGCCAATAAAGAAGGAGGGTAGGTGGTTGTAGTGGAATCATGAGAAAAAGGTCGTCTTTTGAAATATTTTTCAGAAAATAGGGTAATTACTCATTCGGTAGAATATGAAGACTTGCAGTGCAGTACTCACCAAAGACTTTCAGAGTCCAAGACCCTGTCAATCTTGAAAATGCATTTGCCTTGAGCTTTGAGTGTGCTGGTGGTGGGAGGTTAAGTATTCCCAGGTTTTTTGTAGGAAGGAGCCATTTGAAAGTTCTCAAAGGAATCTCTTACATATAGGCAGCTTCTTGAGTGTTATCCTTCTCTGTTTAGCTTGTTAATCTGAAGATAGATTTAAAAAACAGTAATTTGTTTTTAAAAACAGTAATTTGATTGAAACATCAAATAAGCTTTCTTGAGCCTATCCATCTCTGTTCTGTGCTAGGCATTGTGGCACTATATGTGGAGACATATACTACAATAATGGAAGAATGAACTTCACACCTTGAACTTGAGGAATTAATGTTAAGATGTTTGCATGTATTATATAAATAAAAGGGAATGCCACATTATTTACTATAGATGTGCACTGTAAATTGTTAGCAATACTTAGTGTGAGATATTTAAAGGGTAGCCTTACAGGGGAGACTTTAACTCAGTAAAATATTTATCACATATCTTTACTTATCTCTTCTTGATGACTTTAGAACATAGAGATAAGTCAGTCACAGTCTTTGTTCTCTAGTTTCTTAAAAATCTTTATGGAGGTATTGCCAAATAGGACAATGAACACAAAAGTATAGGTTAGTAGTCAGTCTGTTATTTTTATATGGGAAGGTTGGAAATGAGTTAAAGCTAACTCAGTTCTGGAAATTGCCTGCCTGCTACATTTTAACCCCAGCGTCATTGCTTTCCTAAATGAAAGCCCCAAATTGCCCATCATTTCTATATAATTTCATATTGAAAGTTGAGAAATAGCTAGGCGGAGTTAGCTTGATCTGATAACTCACTTGGTTTTCTCTCCAAGGCGCTAAAGCCGTTTTTGAGATCTCATTCTCATTGCTAGACATTCTGAAGTGATGCTTTTTCTGTCCTCTATTATGCAACAGACCGTTTGTTCACAAAGAGTGAGAATTGGAAAGAAAGAGTTTAGAAATCTCGCCATTGTGGAAACTAAGACCTACTGTTAATCTTCATTTTCCTCCACTTGACATGCCCACAAAGTGCTATTAGTGCTGTTTCTTGGAGAAGTAAGAAATCTTGCTTGGTTGGTCTATCAGCAAAGGCTTCAGGAAATGATTGGAATTTGAAAAGAAGTCTCAAAGCAGATTAATATTTTGATGGTGGTGATAGTGAAGACAGAGGATATTCCACTTGAAGTGGAGAATATGAGTGGAGGTACAAATATAAAACAATGTGGGACATGACAATGGCAGTGCATAGTTATAATTTGTGAGGACTAAACATACATTGATGTAAAAGTATTAGGTAAATTCTGCAATGTAGGTGTCAATGACATTTTGGAAAGTGTTAAATGCTAAGATGTATGTTTCCAGTAGACAGAGAGTCATGGAATGCTTGATTGGATGTGGTTGAAGTTAATCTTACCAAAATGTATATGACTGTCCATCTGTGAAATTATTTGGAAGAAGGCAAGCAAATAATGGGCTATGAAAATAGTCAAGGCAAAATATTTGAGTCTGGATTAATTAGATAGCAATTGCTGTGGGGATGCATGAGCACATAAGACCAATATTGTGAAGGGAGAATTCTGATTGACTTCACATATATGACTTGGAATATAGTGATTGGCTCTGATGAATGTGAGGAGAAATGGGAAGGTGAATGAAGATGACTCCAAGAGTAGGTGTCTGGTTGATCAGGAACATGAGGGTACCATTGCTGGCAACTGGATAATCAGAAGGAAAAGTTCATTTTTCCAGATGAGGGATGCATAGCCACTGGAGGTTTAGATGTTTCAGATGCAGGTGTGGATACATTTGCAAAGCTATATTTTAGAATGATGAAACTGCTGGGAGTAAGACGGTGGGTTGAAGGGGACAAATCCTTTGAACATCAGGTTGGTCATTGTTAAAAGCTTCACAAGGGCCGGACATGGTGGCTCGTGCCTGTAATCCCAGCACTTTGGGAGGGTGAGGCAGGCAAATGACCTGAGGTCAAGAGTTCGAGACCAGCCTGGTCAACATGGTGAAATCCTGTCTCTACTAAAAATACAAAAATTAGCCAGTGGGGTGGCACATGCCTGTAATCCCAGCTATGTGGGAGGCTGAGGCAGGAGAACCACTTGAATCTGGGAAGCAGGGGTTGCAGTGAGCCGAGATCATACCATTGAACTCCAGCCTAGATAACAGAGTGGGACTCCATCTCCAAAAAAAAAAAAAAAAAAAAAAAAAAAAAAAAAGGCAGCTTCAAAAGCCTCATTCCCAAATGGCAGGATACATAGTTAGGAAATAGTGAGGCATCATGGTGAATAATGCTGACTTGTGATTGTATAACTAAAAGGACTTGTGTCTAGCAAATGGTCATGCATATAGATTTTTAAGAACAATTTTTGGGAGCATGGCACCTATATAATTTAAATACAGAAGTCAGTTTTCACCAAAAAAGAAAGCAGTCCTTACTAATTCTTCAGGAAGGCATGTACACATCCACAGGCAAGGAGAGGAGAACTCCATGTATTTCCATTGAGGGCCGCCCATAGTCAAAGGATTAAGACAAGAAAGACACATATTGATAAAGAAATTTTAATAACTGGAAGGAAAGGATAACACTTTTCAGCTTACAGAACTTGAGTACAATTACCTGACATCTATTTTTAAGAAAGAGAAGGAAATTTAATTGAATGCACAGTTAGACATCTATCAAAATGAATTTTCTTTAAAAACCTCATATAACAATATCCCATTTCTCTCTCAGCATAATGATTTCTTACCAACAAAGCCTGTCAGTGTTTCCTAGAAGCAATATTGAAGTGACTTCTTGCTGGAAATTCAGCAAATGAACTTTTTTTGCTCCCAGAATCTCTCTCCTCATTAGGCTAGTTAGAAATTCGCCCGGGGCTCCCAGCCCGTCTTCTCTCTGACGGATGCTAAGTGTAGAGAAGCTAATGGACACTTTAACTGTTAGGGGGCTTTCGCTTCAATCCCTTGCAGCCTGGCAGCTGACTCCCAAGTCCTTTCACCAGAGCTGCAATCATATGCACAAATATGATGGTTAAATATGGGCTAGAAGGAAAATCACATTTTTTTCCTCATGATAAGGGAGATACTTGTTAAATATGGGAAATAATCTGTGAAGGTATTCGACAGACTGGTACTTTCACCCCTTCAAGAGGCCCCTCCCACTGGACTGTCCCTACAGCACTTTGCTCCTTGCAAGGAACAAATGGGGAAGGAATCCCTTTTACTATTTCCAGGTGTGTTGATACAGCCTCCTCCTGTGGACCAGCATATAATATAATTGTTCTTTAAGTTACCATCTAATAGCAATTACTAATAGAATATAACAGGCTTACAATAGTTTGAATTTGAAATGAAAAAAGGCTGGTGAGTAGCCTCTAAACATGAAACATGTTTAATGTAAATATGCATTATTTGTGAACAGGTTTAACTAGCCCTTTTCCAATTACATTAATTTTCTTAGACTTTCCCCTTCCCTCCTTTGTACCCTTCCTGCCCTAATATCAGCATCAATAAATTGGTCAGTGATTGTTCTCTGATTGTCTATGCCACATTTTTTTTTTCTCCTTCGAGTCAGGTTTTTTAAGTGATCATTTCATTTGTTTCTACTTCTCTGTTCTCCTCCAACAAGCCTGGCCCCGAAGCTCTGACTTTACAACACATAATTGTGTTCTTAATCTACAGGTTAAATTTGGTTGGGGAAAACATGGGCCTGGTGTTTTAGATGGTTTAGATTCAATAATCCACAAATGTCTAGACATTCAAATAAGGTCAGAAAAAAAAATCTATTCTTTGAAATTTATTTAGCAATTCCAGACATCGATTTGGAGAAATGTGTTCTCTGAAAGAGAAATCTGTTCTGGTTCTAAATATGAATCAAAGTGGCAAGACCCAGACCATCTTATCTATTTAAATGGAAGATCGTTTTGAAAGGTATAAAGATGCTCCTGCAAATCTGTCTGGTGCCAGCGTGTCAAGGCACAATTTATCCCAAATGACTGCCATTCCTGTGAGACAAGAGCTGAATGTAAAGAGGCACTGGAGATCAGAATTCAACATCGATGGGGTTGTTTTCCCCAGGATACTACCTCATGATTTCTTCAAGTCTATTGACTTTTTTTTGTTTTGGAAAAAATAAGATGCATATTTTGTTTGGTGGCTGCAGGACTTTGTGCTACAAGATCCAGCTCATGTGTCTCTGGTGACTATATAAGAACCAGAGCTTTCTGAATCTATGGCAACAATGTGTTGTTCTAGTAATAGCATGTCTTATTGTTATCTCTGATGGCACGACCTAGCATAATGTGACACATACTAGAAGAAGAAATGTGACACAGTGGATCAGGCAGGCAGTGCTGCACATGACAAATATGACATCTCATCTGAAACCAGTCCTGCTTTTAGCAGATACTAACTCAAAGGGCGTATCACTCTCGTCCATATCCTTCAAGCTTTTTGGTGATAAGAAGGCCACGTAAAGGCCACATCTGTTATGGGCATAGAAGTAAGCAGTATCAGGGCGGTAACAAAAGTCAATGTTTGAGAGGTGATGTGCCCAAGAAATCAGTTGAAGGAGGTGTAATTAGGTGGTGAGAGTGAAGATAAGCTATCTATCCCCTCTACCACTTGGTCTCTAGGACTGACAGCTACAACAAAGCAGTTAAGTTGTGCTTCAAGAAGATCAAGTGGAATCGACACTGCTGTCCATTCCAATCTGTACCTTTAATATTTCACTGCAGAGAACTTCACAATTTGGATCAAGTGTATTTCCTTGTTCAACTAATATCGTTCATGCCTTCAGTATATCCATCAGCCAGGATCTGGTCAAAAATATAGAAACCACTGTAAGAATTTCAAACAGAAGAAAATTTGGTACAGAAATATATGTAAAAAATTGTCAGAAAGGGTTACAGGAAACACTAGGAAATGGTAGTACGATCCAGAGATCAGAAAGTGGGGGAAGTATCTGAAACCCTTCTTCTAGGACTAGAGAAGCAAAAGAGAGAAAATAGAATTAATGCATCAACCCTACGTGCAAATGCTTTTTGAGCCCCAATTTTTCCATCCTTTTTCTGCTGCTTCTGCTGATGGGAACTAATCAGAATCAAACTGGAAAAGGAGTCTAAAGAATGTCATTTTTAGTTTTCCAACCTCTTCAATACGGAACAGAGAACAGGGGGTAGAAATGGAGTTTAATACAGACAGACAGTATTTGGCATATTATGCTTTAGTTATTTTAATGAAAGGTGAACAAGGCAAGGATATATTTTTATGTGTATAATGTATATATACATATACATGCATATACATGTACACAAGTAACTACAATACACATTGATAATGTGCTAGGCTTAGGTGTCAGGTAAGTGTGTGTTTTTTCCTAGTTGTCTTTATATATCTGGAACTGAACAATAACACCTGCTATGTGCCTTTATTGGGATGCAGAGGATGCAACATTTTCTAAAGATATGGTATATTTAGCTACAGTGCACATCAAATGCTTTAATATGGTTTACACTTTTATTTGGCAAAGGTTTTGCAAATAATATTAGCACTATAGTTCTTCTCACTTTGGAATGGATTTAAAGTGCTGTATGAGAACTGATATTTTGTTACTGTCTCTTCAATTGTGGCACAATAAATGCTTGATATTTAAATTAAAAGTTGACCCTAATACCCAGGGAAGAGAGTCACACACAGTTACTATGTTATTAGAAATATGTGGTTTTTTTTAAAAACCCACACTTCCCTTTTAAGAGTAGCATAGGGCAGGAGAAAAACAAATTGTAAAAAATTAAATAATTTACCATGTGAGTCTCAAAAGGAATTTTCTGCAAGTTATTGTTTTTTCATGGCACAGAAATGCCTCATTATATTGATTATCACTGAGAAGTGAGGTGTTCTACTTATTTTTCTTTTTTTCACATAAGACTACCTTCTTAATTTATTTTTAATTATTGCAATATTTTAAGAGTAACATTTATTGTTTTATATATAAAACTAACAACAGATGAGTTGGATCAAGACTGTAAACTGAGCCCTTTTTTTTTTTTTTTTTTTTTTTTTTTTTTTTTACTTTGCACTACAAGTTAACTGAAATTGCAGACATAATACTTTTATATAAATAATAGAAAGTAAGAAAGCGTACAAAGCAGAAACTTTTAGGAAATTTTGGAAGAGAGAGAGTGGTTGGGATAAATTTTCAAAGGGATCAAAACATAGAAAATTGCCAAATACAAATAAGAACACTCTTTTTATATAAAGTTGAGAAAAATCCAAGCTTTATAACAACTTCAAACCCACTAGAGGCCTATAGTATAATCAAATTACTGAATTTGGATAAACCAGACAATATGGATGCCTTCAGCTCTCCTACTTATATTATTTTGTTTATCGTGTGTGTGTGCGCGTACGTGTGTGCATGCATGTGTGTTTACACAGGTACATGTTTTAGTTTTATTGAGAAACTAACATGCTGCTAAGATTTCCTTTGCTTCCTTGAGTAAAGAATTTTTAAGGCCAGATTATCCTTTAGAATCTGAGTATAATTTTATGTTGTCAAATATTTTCTTAGGTACTTTTTAAATTTAGTCATTTAATTGAAAGAGGTCAATCTGTGGTTAATATTTGGCAGTACGTGGTTAAGTAGGGGCATGGATTTGGCTCACTCTTTTTACCTTGTCCAGCTTCTAAGATCATTGTCTGGAGGGTCAGTGGATAGGTATAACAGTTTGGCAAATTCCCAGTGTCTCGTAATCTTGACGGAAACTGTTCTCACTATCTGGTTTGCTTTGCATGCTTAAAAAAAAATTAGTGTATGTAAGTTAAACCTAAGTAATATGTATTTAGTAGTTCTTTTTCTAGAAGTAACATGTCAAAATCTAAAACCAATAGAATTAATCACATTTTACAAATAATTTAAGGGCCACCATCTAGCCATTTTAGCCATTTGCCATGATTTTAACTTGGAATTTCGGTTCCAGAATAAATGTATAAGGTGATGTTCATGTTAGAGGGTAGGAGGAAGAGGTTTTCAGGAATGAAATGGCCTGGAAACTTCGAAAATTACTCCCATGTAGTAACGGATCTCTGGGGGTAAAAATACAGAGTTTAGTACCTGCCAACTTGTTTACAAATGTATCAAGTCACAGTGAAAATGTCTACTTTTTTCTATCTAGATGAATTCTTCTTAGGATCACCATCATGCTCTAAATGTTTAAATTTCATCTTAAATTTTTAACAATAATTTCCTAAATTCCAAGATAGTTGAAACCCAGCATCCCTTGTGTATCTTCACATTTATTTCAATCAAATAGTGCTATATAACCACCTTCTTAACTCTTAAGTTCAAGGTAGATATTATCCTCATTTTGAATATAAGGAATTTGTTCCCCACAGAGCAATGTCACAATTTTAAGCAATTTCTCAGTAATCACATAGCACAAAAAGTGGTAGATCTAAAATTTAATTCAAGTCTCAATGTTTCTAAAAGCCATGCTCTTTATTTCCCTTTTAAAATGTATTTTTCACCATAGTGTGTAATCTTTAATAATATGCGATTTAAACTAGGGCCTAAAAATTACTCAGAATGATAGTAGTAAGCACACCGAAGGAGGAGACTAGGTAAAGATAAAATCAGAAGCAAGAACTCACATAGAAATCAGGAAGACTTCTACTTTCTCTGGAATGTAGAACATACGTATAGCAGTAGTGCAAAGAAAGATGGTAAAGGCATTGCACCCCAAGCTATTGTACCCCACACTGAGGGATCTACAGGAGCTTCTGTAGGAGTGGAGTGTCATTACAGTTGACTTATCTTTGTAATCTAGCCATATAGGCTGTATATCTTGCAGTGGAAGAGATTATAAAAATGATAAAGCAAGTTAAGAGCACTTTGTGGTTGGTGGTAAGTCACATGTGAAATAAAATTGTTTTACTTAAGGGGATTTTTGAAGAAACGTTTAAATACAATATGATGATTTGTACACTGCTGGCTTAAATAATGTTCATCACCTTCACCTAAGTAAGAAGTTGATAGGCTCTTATTTTTAAAGTAAAAGGATACATTTAATTGTAGAAGTGCTGAGAATGGGGAGATGACAAGTCACCCAGCAGATGATGTTCAAGAAACAACTTTGGATTAGATCCATCACACAGCAGAGGACTGACTTTTAGAGCATTCCAAATAGAGGTGCTGACTGTATCGAGTACATAGCAATTGTTCATATTAATTAAACTGGACTGAATTGCATTGAACTGAATGCAGTTGAACAGGGCATCAAATACAACGGAGGAAAAGTAAAGAATTAGAAGAACACAAAGACAGTTAAGTTGTAGTGTTATAGAAATATAGGAGGAGCAAGAAGTATTCACATAGGACAAGGCAGAGCAATGTCTGAAAGGAAGTTTCTGGAAATGGTCACACAATGGTCAGTATGAGATCCAGAGGTCGAGGAATTCTGAAATCTGTGAGTGGTGAAAGTAGAGCCAAAATTAATTACAGGAATTTGAGAAAGACATGAAATAACATAATGTTGCATTAATGTTTATTAAATATATACTCTAAGAAACACAAAAAGTATAATAGCAAAATGTCTTTAATGGCTGTAGTTGTTTGCGGCTTGCAAGGCAGGGAACTGGGCCAGGAGCTAAGATAATGAAATGGATCCAATATAGCAGGGGTACCCAACCCCAGGGCCACAGATTGGTACAAGTTTGTGGCCTGTTAGGAACCGGGCCTCACTGCAGGAGGTGAGCAAGCATTACTGCCTGCCTGAGCTCTGCCTCCTGTCAGAGCAGCTGCAGCATTAGAATATCATAGGAGCGTGAACCCTATTGTGAACTGCGCATGTGAGGGATCTAGGTTGCATGCTCCCTACGACAATCGACAATCGAATGCCTGGGGATCTAAGGTGTAACAGTTTCATCCTGAAACCATCTGACCCCACCTCCCTGCCATGCTCCCAGCCAGTCTATGGAAAACTTGTCTTCCATGAGACCGTTCCCTGGTGCCAAAAAGTTGGGGACCGCTGCAATATAGAACCTATTCTTGAGGAGCCCCCATTTTTTTCTATGAAGGATAAAACAAGTACACAAGTAGAAAAATTAAAGTACCCTCAGAGAAGCCAACAATTTTGCCTTTTCCCCAAAGACATTCCCATTCTAGTGATATCTGATGCTTCCTCATTAATTCCTGGTGAATGAGACCACTAGACACATTCTTTCTTTATTCACTGGACACTGTGAGCTCAGGGACTTTATCTGCCTTTGTCCTGTTGCTGCTCAGTTCCTAAAACAGAATCTGAAACAAAGCTTGCTTAATAAAACACTTAAAAAATGAAGTAATGGATGGGGAGGGATGGATTAGTAAGAGAATCTACCCCTAACCATTGTTCAAATGAAATGCTGTTTTACTTGACCTTCTTTTTCCAGTTGCATTTATCAGTCTATATATTTATCCTACTATGTCAACCCCTGAACAACAACAACAAAAAGTAATACTGTACTCAGCTGTCCTGTTTGAAATCTGCCACATTGTATCTCTCAACCTTGTGTTCTTAATTTGTTCCTTTAACATTATAGTAGCACAGCCCAGGTAACTTACAAATACAATAAATGATACTGTTAGATTCTTTTGAAAGATAGAAAAATGCAATTTTCTTCACTTTCTCAAAATGATATAGCTTTTGAAAATATTAGACTTTTTACCAACTTCTGAATTCAGAGCTAAAGAGTTACCTTTCAATTACTTTCCACATGAACATAATGTGATTTGATATTGTCACCAGGTTCAGATAAATGGAAAATTATTTGTAGTTAGTCCGAGAGGGACTCAAGAA